ATGTCAACATTGGCTACCAGAAATCGCTTACCCCACCTTTAATCTGCAGTCTAGCTAAATGCAAAGAATTTTTTTATTTAACTTCAATCTGAAATAATTAACAATACAGCAATGTAAGAACTGGACATTCTCAGCCTGCTGACATTAAATTTGACACTTGCAGTCTAGATCTTAATATGGATAATTAGTATTTCCCCCTCTTTTATCTCTCCTAGCTGTGACTGTGAAGTGTGTGTTCTGTGCGTACACTGACGAGGTTAATGGTGTGTGTTTTGTGCTGCTCTACAGACAGAGCATGTTCCTCCGTATGACGTGGTGCCGTCTATGAGACCGGTGGTGCTGGTGGGACCGTCGCTCAAGGGCTACGAGGTCAGCTGCTGCAAAAACGCATTGTGACTTCATAGAGAAGATACTAAAGCGTTACTTCACCCCTTATGATGTCTTTGTTTTGTGGAGATGTTTAGTAGAATGTTAAAGCTGCTCGTTTCCATACCGTCAAGGAATAAAAATGACAAAACATGGCAAACATTGCATTACGTTGCACTAAAAATAAACTACTTTAAATAAATTACTTTGAAGCAATTTTCATTCAGAAATCACTAGTAAATTTAACAAATAATTACAAAGAAACAGCAAGATTGAATTCAATTGGAAATTTTGAAGTACAAAAACTGTAACAGTAATTTCTTGTAAAATGTACTCCAATACTGTAACTTCGAAAAAATCACTGTTTACAGTGTAGAAAAAAAAAAAATATATATATATATATATATATATATATATATTTTAGGTGCTGCAAAATTTTTTAGAAGTTAAACATCTGTAAATTAAGGTGCAAAAATAATATTATAAATAAAACTATGATTTAATTCGAGCTCACACATACAAACAACTCAAAAACATTAAAAATAAAAAATACATTTAAATATAACTAGATGCATTTACAGTATCATAGAGAACATCTTTATATTTTGAATAATGTGCAAATTATTATTATTACTACTATACTATTTTTATTCTGTGCGATTTTGAGTTTATGTCGTTTGAATTTGTTGCACAGATTATTCTTGATCAAATATGATGTTGAGAACAAAATAAATAACAGCCACAAGAAGAGCAGGGGGAAAGAAAAAAATAAACGTTATCTTTCTACGAGGAACAGACAGGAATTTAAGCTGAAAATGACTCCATACAGTTTGAAAAGAGAAACCTGGACATTTTGCTAAATATCTAACTGGTTTATAACTTCTGAAGAACTAATGGCAAATGCTGACTGACAAAAAGATGAGTTGGTAAAGACTGAACTTTCATTTTCGGGTAAACTATCTCTTTAAATGCTATAAATCATTCGTTTTTATACATGCACAGCATTTGAGTGCTTATATTTTTGACTAAACATTTTCCCAGTCTTACATGATTCCTTATTACTTCACAATTACACTTAATTGTAAAGCATTTAGATTTACATTGAACAATATGGTGAAAACAAACCCTGACATGATTCTTTTTGTGTGTGTAAACAGGTAACAGATATGATGCAGAAAGCTCTGTTTGACTTTCTGAAGCACCGCTTTGAGGGGAGGTGAGTCTTTAAGCGGTTCTCTTCCTCCTCGACCTCGGGATAGTTTATATATTTGTGTGTGTGTGTGTGTGTCACGTGAGTGTATGATGTTTCTTTAAATAGTCACATTGCCTTAATTGGCCATGCTGGTCCATAAGCACACAGCCGGGTCACCTTCCTACAGCATCCAAAGCAGGACATATACACTCTCACACAATAAAAGATATTTAGTCGATATTAAGCTCATTAGTCGATCGTTAACCAGTATGATTAGAATAATTTTTTTTCAGGGCTTTATATGCGCAAATAGCAACAACAGACCATGAGGATTCACACATCGTTGCATCACGCACCTGCAGCGGAGAAAAACAGAAATGAAATCTATAAAAGGAATAAAATAAATAGGAAATATATTTCTCTTAACAAAAGGAAAAAAATTGTGCGACAAGTACCCTCAGGCTACGCCAGTGATCTTCACTATTTTTTTTCATGGGAGCCGCACTCGAAGAAGAAGACGCGTCACGCGCCGGCTGTCGAGGACGTGCTCAGGACGCGCTCAGGTCTATGGAGGATCCGAAAGCTCTCGGATTTCATCAAAAATATCTTAATTTGTGTTCTGAAGATGAACAAAGGTCTTACGGGTTTGAAACGACATGAAGGTGAGTAATAAATGGTGAACTATCCCTTTAATGAAATCAGGGAAATTTAAGGAAATTGGAATTACTGAATTATTAAAATTGGAATTTTTAAACGGAATCAGAACGAGAACCATAATTGTATTGATTCCTTATGATTCCCTTCCATAATTGTGTGTCTTTAAAGTTGTTCCTGTTTTGTTGAATTCCTTAAATTGCATGTTACTTCACCACATTATTCTTTCTGAATTGTAATGGTAGCTTAATAGCTTTTAGTGGTTGGGTTCTCTGTTATTCTCAGCATTACTCTCTGACTGTCGTGTGTGTGTGTGTGTGTGTGTGTGTGTGTGTGACCTATTATTGTCTACATCAAGATCACCTCTCCAAAGGTACACACACATATACTTTAAAAGAATATACTTAAGTCATATACTTTCGCAAAAAGTTAAACTTAAATCCTACTTAAGTGGGCCAAAATAGCACACTTAAGTACTTTTTTTTTTTTTTAATTCTTGGAAAAATGGTTAAAGTACTGCTGAATGTGCTGACAAGCATTTATAATAAACAAAAACAGGCTATACTTTAAAGTCATTTCAGCTGAAACGTGTATGTCATGTATTTTAATGAATTTGTAAATGCACATTTGTAATGAAGTTGCAAATGTATTAACTTTATATCATCAAATAGAACATTATAGATCAAATTATAATTAAGTACTTTACATGTTCTTCAGTATGTTAGTCAACATCAAAATAAGTGCACTTCTTTAAAGCACAACAAAAGATTATGAAAACCATTATTTAAATGCATTTTAAAGTGAAGCATTTAAAAAAGTGCACTTCCGGTGACGACCGCACAGAGTATCATTATAACAGAACTTTCAAATGTATCTAGTATGATAAAACAGCGCTGCTTTACCCCACAAACGCACGACCGGAAGGAGCGGAAGCGGTCGACTGTGGCATAATAAAAGCTATACGCTGCTTTCGAGCCGTGTGTCACTCTCGTCTCTCATTAGCAAAGGATGAAGATGACAACTCCCATAATTCCACACTCAGTCACGGCGTCATCAAACTACGCCTTTGTTTCTTTGTTTGTTTTGAATACGCGCCCTCTAGTGGCGAAAACTTACATACTGTGCCTTAAATTGCATGTTAATGACGATTCAAATAAATAAACTTTTGATTTGACTTTACAAAGTACACTTTTTAAAAGTGTATTTAGGTGTGTTGAGAAACAGTCATGAAAATGTCTCTCTTAAAGTACACTTGTTGCCTTTTATTTCATTAACACTGTTATCTGCAAGTACCGTTTTTTTTAAATATACCGTATTGACCCGAATATAAGACGATGTTTTTTAGGGGGTCGTCTTATAATCAGGGTCGTCTTATATTCGGGCCAATACGGTACTTATAAGATTTGAAGTGCACTACAAGTGCATACTTAATATGATTAAGCACACTTCTTCACAATGGTCCCTCTGATTGTCTTTCTGTTGTTCAACACTGATATTTTGCTGGGATATTGTTTCTGGTTTGTCCATCTTTCAGGTTTTGCAACGGTTAATAAAGTCTAGAGGAAAGTCTCAGGCAAAGCATCTCAATGTGCAGATGGTGGCAGCAGACAAACTGGCCCAGTGCCCTTCAGTGAGTTAATTGAATAATTACTTGCGATAAACCTATCACCCTTTCTCTCTCATTCTCTGCTCTCTAACAGTTAATTTCCCTCTTCACACGCTTGTTTGTTCTCTATCCAGGAGCTTTTCGACATCATTCTTGATGAGAATCAGCTGGAAGATGCCTGTGAGCACATGGCTGATTATCTGGAGGCCTACTGGAAATCCACTCATCCTCACAGCGTCCCACAGACAAACCCTCTGCTGGAGAAACTCACCACAGTCGCTGCAGCCGCAGTCGCCTGCAAGGACTCACTGACTAATCCACAACCAAAGGTGCCTATGAGACTTCAGCCTGCACTTACATTAGCAAACTGAGAAAGCAATAGTAACTGTAATCAATTATTGCTGCTTGCTTGCTAAGATAAGTTTTGCATGGGTAAACACTCACATACAGAAAGCATAGGTATCTAGTTGCAATACTACAGGATATCCTAACAAAGGCTTGAATTAAAGTTTCCTAGTTAAAAGAAGTGCAGTAGTACTTCAAATCTTAAAAGTATAAAAAAAAACTATACTTGCAGATAACATAATAGTCATAAAAAGCCATCCATCCATAATAAAAAGTGCCTCACACGGCTCCGGGGGTGAATACAACCTACGTCTTTCCCCCCGGAACGGCTTCCGTGAACAACATTTAGCGCAAGCTAGAGAAAAGTGATTATTACCTTTTAAATATTGATTTTTTTTTTTTTTACAAAAACGCATGGATTCGCTACAGGAGGCCTTTATTCACCCCCGGAGCCATGTGAGGCACTTTTTATTATGGATGGATGCGCTTTATTGGACTTGTTATGGACTGTGGAACAGAAACACCCACCCACTGCCATTATAAAGCTTGAAAGGGTCAGGACAGTTTTTAATATAACTCCGATTGGATTCGTCTGAAAGAAGGAAGTCATATAGACCTAGGATGGCTCAAGGGTGAGTAGTAATGGGCTAATTTTCATTTTTGGGTGAACTATCCCTTTAACATTGGAGAGTGATAGTAGATCTATGGAAACTTGTTTCCGCCACTGAATAAAAAAAAAAAAAAAGGTAATTGTGACTTTTTATCTCACAATTCTGACTCAGAAATGTGAATTTATATCTTGCAATTCTGACTTTATAACACACAATTGCGAGTAATAAAGTCAGAGCTGTGAGATATGAACTAACTTTTTTCAATTCTAAGAAAAAAGTCAGAATTGTGAGAAAAAAGTCAGAATTGTGCAAAAATGTCAGTAATGTGCAGAAAAAGTCAGAATTGCGAGAAAAAAAGTTAGAATTGCGAGTTTATATCACAATTCCAAGAAAAACGTCAGAATTGTGACAAAAAGTTTGAATTGCGAGAAAAACGTCAGAATTGAGAGTTTATAGAACACAATTCCTAGAAAAAAGGTCAGAATTGTGAGACAAAAGTCAGAATTGTGAGTTTATAAAACACAATTCCAAGAAAAATGTCAGAATTGGGAGAAAAAATTCATAGTTACCTTTTTTAATTCATTCAGTGGCAGAAAACTGGCTTCCATATACTGTAGATCTGATGTGGTTTGTAGTGATTTGCAGTGATTTCAGAGACTTGCGTGTGTGTGTGTGTGTGTGTGTGTGTTAAAAAAAGTTATGCATTGAGATGTCTACTTTGATTTTCTTACACGGTTTCTTACAAAACAATAACAATCTTTTCGGTAAAACTTTACAGTAAGGTTCCATTTGGTAACATTAGTTGTCCACATTTAGTTTGTGTTTGCAAATCTATATAACTGCATTATTCCACACGTGTTGCTAAATCAGGGCAGAGTGGGTGAGCAGACAGCAGAGAGACCAGCGGACGACAGGACGGGCTTTTATGAAGACTACCATCATCATCATCATCACTACCAAACTCAGAAGCAAGGACGCTTGGAAGACGACAACACTGAGGAGCAAGACGCTAAAGCTAACAACGACCAAAGTGAATGGAGAAGCGGTCACAAACACCACAGCCATCATCATCATCATCACCACCGCCATCACAGTCGCACCACGAGGACGCTTTACAAACAAGAGACGTCAGAGTCCACATATCCAGAACCTCTCACTGGACAAACGCAGGAAGAGGAACCGCCAAACCATCATCACCATCATCACCACCGGGGCGACAAAGAGAAGGAATACGACCACAAGGAGAGGAACGGCCAGCAAAGAGGAAAGCAGAGGTCACAACGAGAACCTCATCATGAGCGGGACAGGAAACGAGGAGAGGCGGAATGGGCGAGAGAGCATTACATAGAGCAGTGACACACGTGCCACATACACACTGACCTCAATCTTATGTGTTTTTACAGGTCAATGTAATGTATATGAGACGTATATCCATACACGACTTTTCCAAGTGTGGACACATTAAATAAAGACAATTATATATAATTTAATATGACATGAATGATGAAATTCTCTTTAAAGATTGTAGAATTTTGTGTATTTATTTTTAGTTTTTTCTTTTACTTGATTTGCATTCCTGGTCTTATTGAACAAACCATAGATGCATGTTAACCCAAAGGAGAAAAAAAAAAAAAAGAGTTTGTATTTTTTTAAAACTTGCTCTGCTTTGAAACAATCTTGGTTTTCAGCTGATGTGAGTCACAGTTTCAGAAATTAATGCAAGTTTGGGGCAAAAAAGCCACCGAAAGTGACAAAAATGTCAAAATCTGCTGTTTATTTTTTTTATCGTACATATTTCGTAAATTCTTTAGGTCTAGTTAATTACTCAAATTATTATTATTATTTTTGTTATTATTATTATTATTATTTATGGAAGCTTGTTTCCGCCACAGAAAAAAAAATTAAAAAGTAAATGTTACTTATCTTACAATTCTGACTTTTCTTCCTTGCAATTCTGAGAAAAGAAAGTCAGAATTCTGAGATATAAACTTGCGATTCTAAGAAAAGTCAGAAATCTGAGATGTAAACTCACAAGAAAAAAAATGTCAGAATTGTAAGATAAAAAGTTGTAATTACTTTTTAGTTTTTATTCTGTGGTGGGAAAAAAAACAGAATTGTGAGATAGAAACTCGCAACTGCAAGAAAAAAGTCAGAATTGTGAGATAATAAATAGTTGCGAATACCTTTTTTATTTTTTATTCCATGGCGGAAACAATCTTCCATAATTATTATTATTTTGTTGTTATTGAATATTCTGTTCACCCAGAAAAACTTCACATTACAGGAAAAAAAATGTTTCATGTTGAATTCTCGATTTCATCTTCACTGCTGATTTGTTTAGTTTAAAAAAAAAATAGGATATTTATTTTATTTTGTGTGGATGTCATTTCGAATTGTTATTTAATGTTAATTACTTGTGTGTTAATGTTGCAAAGGTGTGTATTGCCTTGCATATAGGATAAAGAAGTTACAAAAACAATATGATAGTTTTGCTTTGTTTCTCCAGCAGTCCTGAACTCTTATTAACATACTCGATTACTAACGTAACCTCGGTTCCCTGAGATACGGAACCCGGAACTGAACGGGGTGCTTGGAGGCATAACAGAGGCATTTTGGGGGGTGGTCTGGCTGCAGCGAGACTTGGCCCCCTCCTCTTCCTGTCCAGTCGATCAGGATGACGCCTGTGGCGCAGGGTCCAACACTATCTTAGGTCGGGGGCCCTGGCGTTTAGGAAACTGGTGGCATCTGGCCGAGCGGGAGCGCTGGCGAGGCTCGGGCTTAGGAGCCGTAGTAGCAACTGGTTGCGCGGGCTTCGCGGGATGCTAAGTTGGCACATTTTTGGGGCGACTAGAAGCTGGAGCGCTTTGGCAGGAAGTGTCACATTGCTTGGGACGACTTCTGTGTAGCGGTAAAGCATTCAGCGAAGCCCTCAACCGCAGGTCCAAACAGGCCAGTAGGGGAAACCGGGGAGTCGAGGAAGGGGACCTTATCCGCATCCTTGATCTCAGTGAGGTCAGGTTACTTCGACAACAGCGACGACTGAGTCGTGCAGCTACATAGCACGGCAAAGGACGCAGTACTCGTTCCGTATCTCAGGGAACCGAGGTTACGTTAGTAACAGAGTACTTCCTTATCGATACTTCACTCGTACTGTGGCCTTCAACTGCAGGTCCAAACAGGCCAGTAGGGGAAACCGGGGAGTCGAGGAAGGGGACCTTATCCGCATCCTTGATCTCAGTGAGGTTTAGCCATAGATGGCGCTCCAGCACCACTAGGCTGGCCATGGATCTGCAAATTGCCTGCGCTGACATTTTGGCGGCGCGTAGAGCCAGGTCGGTCACACTGCGCAGCTCCTTAAAAGCTGCGGGGTCCAGGCCGGACTCGTCCATGCAACGGAGGAGCTTGGCCTGGAAGACTTGTAAGACCGCCATGGAATGAAGCGCTGAGGCCGCTTGTCCAGCGAGAGCTGAAGTCGCCCAGGCGGCTGCGGGTGGGCTCCTCCGGCGGAGACCACTCCAAACCCAGCTCCTCCACCGCTTTAGACAGGACGCGGAAAAGCTCGGCGTCCATGCCCGTGCTGGCTGTGCTGAGTTGTGCAGATGGCAAGGGGGCGGGGTCGACGTACGAGCCTGACAGCTCTTCCGCATCTGAAGCCTCTAACGACATGCTGTCGTCCATGGCGTCACACTCGCTTCCTCCAAATGAGACCAGATCGCTCGCAGCCGCAGAGGGTCGCTGGTCTGAGAGGGAGAAGTGGACTGGAGAAACCTCTTTAAGTGGAGAGAGTGAGGTACGCGGGGGCTCAGCCGGCGTGGGCTCACTCGTCACCGAGCGCCGACCCTGCACGAGCGACAGTAACGGTGCAGCATTTGAAACAACGCCGAAAATTTGCTCTGAAATTTGCTCTTTTATATCGGCGGATAGCGGCAGGGAACCGGAGACCGTCACTGCTGCAGGCGCGAGGGCGGCGTAAAGCGGCGAGAATGGCCAAGCAGGAAGGGGGTCTCTTGATCTGCGACGATCTAGTAGTCGTCGCTGAAGGAGAATAATCTGAGGATCCTATGGCGATGTGCCGCTTATATAGCCAGATGACCCCGCCCATTCTGGCGGGCTTTACCGCCATAGGCTCGTGCAGCTCCGATGCCGAGCCATTGGTTTGTTTTTTATTCACTGCACAAACCAATGGCCGTGCAGTTATACTGCGTTTTTTGAAAGGGTTCAGTCATCTGAGAAAAATGAGTTTTCCCCAAGCATCTTAAACAGACGCAGTACGAGTGCAGTATCGATAGGGAACGTTTCTGATAAATTGAGCAAGAGTTAATGAAATGCCACAGGTAATTTGTTAAATTAAAGAAGACTATTTTAGATTTGTTTCCCCACCCTTATTGTCTATGAATTGCTAGAGATTTGACATATGCAGAGTAATTTAGGCTTTTGGAGCATTACTGCTGCTCATGAGCAGTAATACATTTACAAAGGAAGTGCATTGGGCAAATGGCTTTAAAAGCAGAAATGTGCCATTTATATTATCTTAAAAGGAACTTTAATTAATTCTTCCATACAAAAATGTGTTATTTGAGCTGTGAAAGCTGTTTAAATTGTCCTTTTAGCAGTGAGACTACAAATCTTACAGCCCTGCATATAAATTTCTGGTTATGGGATTACTGAATTTCTGTGGGTGGAAACAAAAATGGTTTAATCACACGTGATCTTTCAAAGACTTAGTCAAATAAGGTATAAAAACTGAATTTCCATGATCTTTTGAAATTAAACGGTCAAATACACTATGCGGACATACACTGGCTTGCAGAAACAAGCTTTTCTGTCCCAAAAAAAGAAAAGAAAAGAGAACATTTTAACATATAACCAAACACAGAATAATGAACAATCTGAATTCTGGATGACTGCCCTTAATTGAAAACTGACGACAATTGGCAGACTTCAATTTGAATTTCACTGCTATAATGCAATCAAGATTGCATTCAGAAAGTATAAGAACTTGTTTTACTATTAATATATAATGAATTATTGTTGTATTGATTTATGCTGTGTTTACATCCCCCATGCATTTTGATGCAGAAATACAGTCTGCAGTCTGTTGCGCAAGTGAATGAGGAAAGACTATTGTCCACACAAACTGCGAACCTAAAAATTACAAGGCGATTATTCCGTTTTCTTGAGTTGAGCAATTCTATGCACCTCACAGTGCTCATGAAGTTGCAGAATATGTATTGTTTAAAAAAAGAGGTATCATAGAAAATATTTTTTATTATTAATTTTTACTTGCATACATTGCACAAGAAAAAATAACTGAATTTGCACACACAATCCTGTTACTATAAAAGTTTACATCCTCTTGTATCTAATTCTGGTCTGTAGTTTCCGTGAGGATCAGTGACTGTTTGTATGTTTTGTGATGGTTGTTCATGAGTTTCTGAGTAGTGAAGCACAAAATTATGCCCATTATGAAAAATGAAAAATATTATTTGATGGTCATAAAGGCAACACACTACATTAAACCAGTAAACATTTGAAACGGATGATCTATTTAAATAGTCATTTTGGGAAATGCGTAAATATGTAAATTCTGAAGCATGTTAAAATATTTTCCAAAAGGCATAATAATTTACACAGACGATCCTATTCAAAAGTTTACATACCCTTCTGTTTCCTTTCTGAGGATTAATAAATATTTTAACCCTATGTCATTTAATTTGTGTCCTACAAATAAGTGGTTCAAGTACACGAAAACCTGCTGCAGAAACATCACCTCACCTGATATTTTAAAAAATGTCTGTTTTTTGTTCATACGATAAAAGTCAATGGACCCACAACATATCTTTGATGTGTTCAACTGTTTAGCAGATAAAAGTGCCATACTTCTTCAGCTTACTACCTTTTTATGAACTTGGCAATAAAAAAGCCGATAGTATCTGCGTTGGCGTTTTGTAGGAGGCTCTCGGGGGAATGTGGGACACCTGCTCCTCTCCATGCTAATTCTGGCCTAAATCTCTGTAGCAGCTGCCGCTGGTCCCGTGTCAGACCTGCTCCCGACATCCCCTCCGATCCTAAAACAGGCACCTGGAAAAGAAGACAAATCCAAGCTTTCACTAACTCTCATAGCCTTTGCTCCACCACATTATAATCACCCAGTCATATTCAACAAACACAACATTAGTTGCTGGGCTGACACGGCATATTGCAATTAAAAAAGAACTGTCTAAAATATAGTAGTTCATTACTAATACTTAAGCGATTACACTACAGTAATATCACCAGTTATATGTCAATTGAAACTTTGTTATAGACCATTTCATAATGGAAGAGCTTTCCCAGCAGTCTCTGCTTTTCAGGGGTAGGGAAGCTGTAATAAACTATAGAAGCAAATTTACTTTTGTTTAGCAGGGTATATAAGAACAAAGAAAAAAAATCACTATTAAATTTCCATTCCTTTTCAAAAGAAGAAACAATAAATAGAGATTATGGCAGTCAAAAGACAGATGTCAAATGTAGTCTTTGAGCACACACACATACACATATATATATATATATAAAAATGCTAAATTAATTGTCGAAAAATAGTCCTGTCTGGATAAGTCACTTCAGGTTTGATGTTCTTTGAGGAAAATTGTCACTTCATCTAAAGATCCAGTAATGACACTTGATTGTTTTTGAGTATCTCATATTTGTTCTGCTTTAGCTAGACTCACAAGTATTCACTACTCAGTTTGTTTTGACAGTTCTGGGTTGTAAAATGTTTGTTGTTTTAGCAGTGTTTTTATCCTCACCTGTGGCTCTAGTGTTAGACAGGGGAATGTCTTGAGAGCCCAGGCGACCTGCTCTTCATTCTCCGCAAGCGTCACGGTGCAGGTGCTGTACACC